ATCCCACTGAATGATAAAGATCCATGTACTGTCTAGATCTGCTCCTGTGGACAGAAAGTGCTGACCCTCATTGCAATGCCCTCAAGTGTCATCACCAGTATCTATGTCAATTAAGTACAGGAGCTAATATATAAGTAAATTGTAAGTAATATGAAATAAGTGGTCTTAATAGTAAATAACTTAAAATTCTCTCATCTAGCACCACTCTGGGCACCTATTTTGTTGTAAGCAGTTGTGGTGTTCATTCCCAGTGGGCATAAGTTATTGATTATATCCATCTGTAGTAATCCCCAATAATTACCCGATGCAATTTGATTCCTAAAAGAGGAGGATCAATCTGCTCATGATAGCTCACAGATATCGATCATCCATCCTATGTAATGCACTGATTAGCACATGTCCAGTTTAATTTGATGACGCATTTCTAGCCTTTTCTCTATCTTTCAATCTTTTTTGTAGAATTCTTGTTGCTAAAACCATAAACTATCTACGTCATCATCGATCAGCATAATACATCTCCATAACTCAAAAGAATAATGCAAGAGGAACCCTTGCGTCCTATAACTTGATCCTCCATACAAATCTGGTGGTAGATGACTAGAGTGATCACATAATGGCGCACACTCTAACTGAAATATTCTCATATTAAGTATCTCTTGTGAAATTGGTGGCAGATTAACATTTTCTTTAAAAGTAAAATTGATATCCTTATGACTAGTTATGGGACAAGGTTCCTTTCTGTAAAAGTCTAACTATCGTTGCCTAGGTCCATCGTAGACTATTTAGATATTCCATCTATGTGAGAAGATCAAATTTAGCACCACTACCACAACTATAATTCTAACATCAATGTCTGCATTAGTTAATAGTGTTTACCTGCAACTATGGAATTTGTCCATCTAAGCTTGTGTCTCGCGATCAACTAGTTTCAAAAACAAGTCTCTTTGACACCACCAACTTGGCAATAAATTGGACACACTAACCCTTGAACTCTTTATTTTGTCTAAAACCACGCCTTGAACCTTCCTATATGATATATGGGCTAAAATACGCAAATACACCATGATTTGTCTAAAACCAATGGTTCTTATTCCAATAGACCTCTTTTTAAAGTGAAATCCTCCGGTTTAAATTAGAACGCAATATCAAACAGCAGCTTGTGAGGTATGTTAGTCGCTCCTCAATTTGAAACTCTATGTTAACATCATTCTTCAGACTC